AATTTTGTGTAATTAAATTTTAATTCAAATGTATCAAGTTGGTGTATCATGCTTAATGAGATGACCAATAATATTTAATTTTATTTTTAATATTGAAACATTTAATAAAATTATTTTTTATAAAATTGTTGCTTTCAATTTGGAAGCATATCGAGCATCATATGAAGCAATTTAATTGTTGTAATATTATGAGTAATTTAATTCACAAAGTATCGTGCTTTTTTAATTGATAAGAATTAAAATTATTTAAATTTTAGAAACTTGAACAATTTAAGTTTACATCAAATTATTGGCACTTGTATAATGATAATAGTAATGATAATGTTCTTACAAACACTTAAAACATTTAAATTAAATAATAATCTATGTTGTTCTCTTATGTCACTCATTTTTCGTTTGAATCTTTTTAAAATAATGGGGTTTTTTCTTTCTAAATAAATAAAAATTTCAACAATATAAAAATAGAATTTCAATCAAAAAATTTTAAATTACTTTAATTAAAAAATTTTATATTTATATTAAGTTTGTAATTGATTCACCAAGAAATTATCTTTAAACAATTTGAGTTAGATTTTGCTGTCAAAAGTATTGTAAATTTAATTAAACAAAAATTTAATTGAATTTTCTATTAAAAAAATTTAATTCAAATATAATAAAATGTCTTTGATTAAATTTGTGAAAAAAATTTTAAAAAAACGAAATAATAAAGTTTGTAATGAAACAACAGAGGAATGGTCCACTTGGACAATCTCCTTAATAAATAAAAATAAATTTTATATTGATTCATCATATGAAGAAATTAACCAAGAGAATCATTCATTAATTGACAAGTTTAAATTTAAAAATATAACATTTTTTATCAGTTAAAAATTATTTAAAAAATATTTAATTGAAATCGTATTATTGAAGCAAATTTCAAGATTAATGAAACTACAGAAAATAAAAGATTAATAATGATATTAAAATTTTTAGAAGCACATATATGTTCGTATTTTTATATGTTTAATAGAGGATATAAATATACTATATCACAAATGGCTAAAACAAGGTTATGAAGATGATTTTGAGTAGAGGTTAGAAATTAGAGAATTATTTTTTTTTATAGAATATAATATAGAGCTAATATAAGGTTCTGATTTTAGTTTTCGTGAGGTTTTCAGGTGTTCTGAACATTTTTACTTAGAGTACCATATCCTGTTTACTTAGTATGTTTTTGAGATATAGCAACACCGGTAATGATCACCAGTGGTAATAAATAGCAAAATTCTTTTATAAATACGTGTAAGTTCTACTAATCAAATAATTTAAAATCCCAAAAAAATGTCATTATACAATTTACAAGAAATATTTGAATTAAAAATTAAAATCGGCTATTATTTTGATGGTCCTGAAGATGAAAAATACAGAATCACCAAGATTATAAATATCGATTCAGAGAATAATTTCATAAAGGTTTTAGTTGTGAATGAATCTAAAAAAAGTAAAAAAGAAATTGAAAGAGTGATATGATATCTTGGTTACACTACAAATAGTAATCATTATGAAGGTAATGTTTTTGGAGAAGGTTGTGAAGGATATTATAGAGTTTACCAAGAAGAATTTATTCAAGTATCAAAATGGTATTTTGGAAAGAAACATAGAGGAAAAATTAAAATTAAAAATTTTTAAATAAACCTTGTAAAATGTTTTCACCATAGAAACCTCGATGTTCAAATATTTTTTAATAAGCAGATTATACGATCATTTAAAATTGATTGGACAAAATATGGACAAAATATGGACATGTTACACAAAGAGAAAAATTCCAATAACTCAAAAATTTATTATGATAACTTAAGTAGCTTTAAGAAAAATATTTATCACTAAATTTTACATATAAAAATATATTTTTAATAATATATATTAAAGTATAGATTGAAATTATTCATGGGTCCATGAACATAGACGTGGACATGAACATGGACAAGGCCAAAAATATCTATGAATATAGTAAACATGACATCATGACTAACGTAATACAAATAACGTAATTCGTGATCTGCTAATGAATATCAATTCCACATTGAAATCACAATTCTTAAAATGAATACAATATCTATGATTTTGTTGGTTGCTAAAGGTAGCAATACGATTGGACCAAACATTAAGAAATTCATTTTGTAGACATTTGCTACGTCTTCATAGCTGTAAAATATATAAAAAAAATATTAACAATATGAAGCAAAGCAAAATAATAAAAAAAATAGAATTTACAGTAACAAAACTTCAAAGATAAAGTCTAATACCTAAAATGCAAAATACGAATTTAGCTAAAAAAAAAAATAATAATTTTTCTAAAGCAACATTATATACACTAAAAATAATAACTCTGGAAGCAACAACAAAGAAAAAACTTTTGTAAACTTTGAGCAAATAGCTTTGTATAGACAGTTCACATAATTTTTTTGGGTAAAAATTCTCATACGAGCACTAAATTGCCTTTCCTTAACCTTATGAACGACTAGCTTTTGGCTGCTATAAATTGCTTTGGATCGTTCTTATAATTTTTTTTTTGGCTTAACCGGCTTTCTTGTTGTACATTGTTAACCTTATTTCTGCCACTCACTTTAAAAGATTCAAAGATTACAAATGTGAATTTGTATTTCGATAATGC